TAGTAATATTTAAAGAAATATTCTATATTTTATAGCTAATAATAAAAGTATAATTAATAGCTTCCAGCCAAGACAGTTATTTTAGAGATTTTAAAAAAAAGTATTACTATATAAATATAATACTAACTAGATTGTATACTGTATAACTATTAATATTTATATAGATTTCTTTAATATAGGGAATTTATATTAATATTAATATCTTATTAGCTGTTTTTACTTTATAATACAGGGCTAAGACAGGGGAGTTAGTCTTAGTCTATTTTATTTTTTTATATTAATTTTTTAGCTTACAGTTCTTAAATTTAAACTGGTTTTTTTCTTTTTTAAAATATTAATTTATAAGATGCTTGGTACTATTATATAAAAAGTATTATAACTATCTTTTAGTTATATTAGTATAATCAGATCTAAGAATTAAAGATTAGGTGTTTTTATAAAATTATAAGTATTTTTAAAATATAGTAATTATATTAGGTCCCTGTTTATATTTTTGCTGTAGTATATATAAATTCTAATAATAAGTAGTAAAAAATATTATTTTATCTTATTTTTTAAACAGCTGATATATATATTTCTTAATATAGTAATTAAAATCAGAAAGTAATTTTACAAAAAAAGTATAGCTGCATTCTTTTTTAGTAGCTTTAAAAAATATTATTTTAAAATATTAAAATAAATATAGAATTTATAAGGATTTTAATTATTTTACTGCTGTACTTATTCTAGCTGGCTTATTATATCAGATTTAAAAATAGTAGTATTTTAAATAAAAAAAATATCTATTTAGAAAAAACAGGCTATAAATAGCTAATATTTTTCTTATATTGTAATAGTAATTTATTAAAATAATAGTACTATTTCTGCTAATAGGTTGTATTTATATAGCTTACAGTCTTAAAAATCTTATAATAATTATTACAGAATTTAAATAGTACTTTTTAAAAGTTGTAATCTAGATTATAAAACTACTTTTAATACTTTTAGATATTAAAGAAGAGTTTAAATTGCGGAATATTCTTAATTTTAATATCTATTTTAGATTTGCTTAAAAGTAAGAAAGTTTTTTATTACTAAATTAGTTATAATTTAATATTATTATATTAGATTTTTTATTATAGTTCGGCAACTTATTTTTACAACTGCTAATAATCTTATAGTTAGCTAATAGTATTTCTAACTATAGTAAGATCCTCTACCAAAGAATCTAATAATAAAAGTAATAAACTATTAGCAGTAAAAAAAGTTTCCAACTTTAAACTACTATTAGAATATAATAATTACTGTAACATACTGTATTCTATAGGTAACTAAAAAAAAGAATTAAAATTATTAAAAGAAAATAGGTCAGTTAGATATAGAATAGTAGCAGTCTATTAATTTTAAAACTAATTCTTACTATTCTAAAGGTATAGCAAGATTTTAGAAGTTAAATACTGGAGGGGGTTTTTAATTATTAATATTACAACTCCTCCGTTAGGGATATGTGGGCAAGCCGTTGGTGGTTCACCATACCCTCAGGGATTACCCATAACATAGTATTAGTATTAAATATTTATTTAATAGTTTTTAAGATATCTGCTACTATTACTGGAGCTGTTTTTATTCTAATATAATTAAAACAGTTATACTTTAGATATATACTAATTATTTTACTATTAGTAAAAAGTACTAGAATATTTTTAATAATTTTAATCTAGACTTAATTATCTCTACATCTAAAAAGTAAGAGGAGGATAAGGTGATTACTACCTTTTATATTAATAAAAATAAAAATATAAATAATTTTAAAAATAATTTTAAAAATAGATTATTATTAGTAATAGGGGAACCAGCCTTACCTAAGTCTTTAAATACTATATATACTTAGATAGAGATAGAAACCCAGTTTTTATAATTTCTATACTATTATAATCACTGTTCTAAACAGTATAAAAAGTAGTATAATATTATTAATATATCTAATAATAGATACTTTTTTTTATACTAGGCTTTATAAAAGTTTTTTATAAAGTACAGTATATCTTTTAGATAGAATATATAGTACAGGTTGATTAGATAAAGTAGGTAAAATAAATAAAATAGATTAATCAGATTAATTAAATTAATTAGATAAAGCAGGTTAATTAGATAGAATAGATTAATTAAATAAAGCAGGTAAAGCAGGTAGAGTAGATAGGCTAGAACTAAAAAATATTACTATACTATAATTAAAAATATATTATACTTTATATATTATTTATATAAGAGGGATATATATATTATAAATTAATCTATAGTTATTAATCTATCTGCTATATCTAATCTTTCTAACCTATAGATATAAACAGTTAAAATAATAGTTATATTTTAATCTAACTATAACTGTATAGTTAAAAATTTTTTATATCTTAACCTGACTGCCAGGTTATGGCTAGGTTAAGGTTAAGGTATAACAGTCAGGTTAAGCCACTCTATTTCCTATTAAATAGTTTTATATTAAAGTATTAAAAGTAGGGTCTGTAGTTTGGTTTATACAGTTACTATAAAAAGTTTCTTTCTAATTTACTATTAGTAGTAAAAGTTATATTATAACTTTGTAATTTATTTATCTATTTTTTAAAAGCTAATTTTTATTTCACTATTTTTATATAAAGGCTGATTAGCTTCTGTAAAAAAAGTTGTATATTATTATATATAGCTGTAGATACTGCAGTCAGCTGCAGTTTTTTTTAATCTATTTATTTTATTTTTTAATATTTTTTTTAGTTTTATTTTATTTTATTTATACATCTAGTCGGGCTCTGTTTAGGACTTTTTAAAAAGCATTTCTAATATTACAGAACAGATAGACTATGCTAATTAGAACATATCTTAGAATAAAAAGAAATAGCTGGAGAGCTATTTTATCTGTTTGTATAAAATTCTTTTATATGTATGCTAAGCTAGTGCTAGTTTGGTATATAGCTGTTACAGGACAGACCCGCAATACTTGCTGCATATGACTGCAGCCTCTTTATCTTCCCACCAGACCTCCGCAATCTTTCTGTTCTCTAACTATTCCTTTTTGTTTGTACGGCATGCTTAGATTAGAACTAATCTAAATTTATTTTATAATATTAGAAATAGTTTATCTGTCTACTAGTAATAGTAATTAAATAATTATTATATATTTTAGAATAAAAGTTTTATTAGTCCTATTCCAACCTACCTATTTTACCTAATTATATAATTTCTTTTATAATATCTAAATAAATACCTTTTATTCTGCTAGTACAGCAGCTTTAGTAAGAACTTTAGAATTAGTATACTAAGATTCAGCAGCTATATACCAATCTAAATATATCTTATACTAAGATCTAACAGCTCTATATATAATAAATTATATATATAGTATTTAGAACCTGCCTGCCTAACCTGTCTTATTTTAATAATAAGCTATATATACTGTATATATGGCTTTTTTTTATTAAAGCAAAGCTATAATCCGACCAACTTTTTAAAACTAATACTTTTAACTATATTTAGAATTAATTAAAATAGTTTTAATAGGCTTTAGTCCTGCACCTCTACCAGCTTACAAAAAATAAATAATCCTAGGATTTAGAAAATATTTTTTAATTTTTTATATAATTATATTATAATCTATATAAACAACAGAAAGCTATCCAACAATTTATATTAATATACTAAAAAAATAATAAATTACTTATTACTTATTTTATATATTTTGAACAACTTTTATATAAAGCTAATATAATTATCTGGTTGGATATCTTATATATAATTATACTCTACCAGAAATTATAATTAAACCTATACTAGACCTTAGAAAACTTTAATAACTTAATATTTAACTACTTATATAATAAATATATTAAATTTATTTAGTATACTGACTAGTATACTATTTAACTAATTTTTAAATTTATTACTAAATCTATTTTAAAGCCTACTGTGCTTATCTAACCGGACCTAATAAATACAGATTTTATAAAAATACTTACAGCTCGCCCGAGCTTACCAGTTTTATTTATTATATCTATTTTATCTTATTATTTTTATTATTTTAAGAATAATTTTTATCTGTATTATAGGTTAAATAACTACTAGATTTCTAACTGTAAGAAGCCCTCTAAAATTCAGAATAAAATTTATATAAAAACTATAGTATATAGTTCTATACTTAGTGCCTGCTTTGGTAAACAGTTTTTTTTAAAGATCTAAATAAAAGGGGGGGTACTGTTACAGAACAGACCTGCAATACTTACTGTATATAACTGTAGTCTTTTTATCTTCCCACCGGACCTCTGTAATCTTTCTATTCTCTAACTATTTCTTCTTGTTTGTACAGCATGCTTAGGTTAGAACCAATCTAAGTTCATCCCATAGCAATAGCATACAAGGCCTTAGGTGCCAACTGGTGCCTGAAGCCGAGCTCTATATCAGGGCCTTGGTCCCATAACAGAATACTTATATACAGCAATCTGGGCAAGACTTACACCTTTCTGTAATACTTAGAACTAGTAGCTGCAAAATAAAGCTAAGCAAGTCAAAAAGCTTTATATACATACAAATACTTGCTTAAATAGCCTATTTAGAAGATAAATTAATTCTGCCGGCAAAACACCAAGCAAAAACTCATTTGCCCGATGGCCGCAATAGTCCGCCGTACCCCGCCTCCATAGAATCGCATTTGTGGGCGAAAAATGTGCGGGGTCCGCTCCTCCCAAAAGTCCGCTACGTCAACATCCGGGTCCAGCCCACATAAAGTTGTACTGAAGCGTACTGATCGACATCCGATTAGAAGATCCGAATCCGAAACTCCATTTTTACTCATCGGAACCGACCGCAATCTAGCCATTGAACATGCTTGGTCAGCAGGACCATTGCCACTAGTCTAGGATTTATAGATTCGAGATGGACCCCCAGCAGCAACAATGATTTCTTTGTCCGCTCACAAGAGACTTCGATTCGAACATTATTACTTATCATTATTTCTAGACAAAAGTAAGTACACAATGGCTAACCCCGTGGGAATCGAGACCCGTCTTTTCATCGGCGGTCAATTCAGTACCATCATTGGATGGCTCCACTTTCAAGCTACACAGCCCATATTCAGGCGAGCTTGTAGCAGAGGCCCATGAAGCAAAGGCCGCGGACGTGGATCGTGCGGTTGAGAGTGCCAAGGCAGCACTCCCAGCGTGGTCAGAACTGGATGGTAAGTTTTGGAATTTCTTGCCTGGCCCCGTCAACAGAGATTCCGAGGGGCTAATTCTCTTCTGCTAGGCTCTGAGAGGCGCAGATATATGCTGAAATTGGCCGACCTTGTGGAAGCGCATGGGGCCGAGTTCGCCCGCTTGGAGGCTTTGTCCATGGGCAAGCCGGTTTCCACCTACGTGGAACATGTTGTAGGCCCCGCCACTTTGAGATGTACGCGATGCTCGCTTCCTACCGTTCCCTACCGAGCATGGTTCAACAAGAATGGATATTACTTACGCAAGTAAAATACAGACTACGCAGGAAAGGCGCTGGACATCCACGGGGCCACCTCGTTAACCTCGAAGGATCAGCTCAACCTCACATTCCGTCAGCCGTATGGTGTAACAGGGGCCATCATCCCGTGGAAGTAAGACACCCATGATTCTTAGATGATCCTTGTATGCTATACATCCGCTATTCATGTTGCTGACTCTGGGGGGGAACCAGTGTCCCGTTAATTATGATCTGCTTTAAAGTGGGACCGTCTCTGATCGCGGGAAATACGCTGGTCCTGAAATCATCCGAGAAGGCCCCGCTGACCTCCCTGCTGTTCGCGCGTCTGGTTCACGAGGCTGGCTTTCCGCCCGGCGTCTTCAATGTGGTCTCCGGATATGGCCTTCCCTGCGGGGATGCTATTGCACGTCATATGGAGATCCGGAAAATCGCCTTTACAGGCAGCACGCGGACTGGGAAGGCGATTCAGAAGGCGGCGGTCGAGTCGAACATGAAATCGTGCACTCTGGAACTCGGGTGAGTCATTCTTGTTCTTTCCATGAGGGGAAAATAATCCAATCGTGTATTGAAAGAGCCTAATCTGATGGTGAGTAGTGGCAAGAGCCCCCTGATCGTGTTCGATGATGCCGATCTGGACAAGGCGGCCAGAGCCGCAGCCTTCTCTCTGGTTTCGAACTCCGGGCAAGTCTGCATGGCTTCGACCCGAGTTTATGTCCATACATCAGTGGCGAAGGAGTTCACATCGCTGTATACCCGCGCCATTCAAGTCATTCGGGGCGCTGTAGGGGACCCCTTGGATCCCACAACGCGATTCGGGCCCCAGGCCGATGCAGTCCAATATCAGAGTGTCTCAAAATATCTGGCGATGGCTGCCCAAGACGGTTTGTCGCGGTTGACCCTGGACAATCCCATCGTGACCGGAGGCAAAAACATTGTCGCCCCGGAGGTTTTCGTCGAAGTGCCGGAGGATCACACCCTCATGCAAGAAGAGATTTTTGGGTAAGTGTCTGGGACTCTTGTCAGTCTGCTTTTCCAGACTGAGACTAACGCTATATTTAGAATTTAGAGCTGTTTCTTGTCTCAACACCTTTGAGACCGAGGCCGAGGTGGTCGCCAAGGCGAACGACTCAGTGTACGGCCTCTACGCGAGTGTCTTCACCCGCGACCTGCAGCGAGCGATCCGGCTGGCGAAGCAGTGTGAAGCGGGCTCGGTCGCAATCAACACTTCGTCGCCGTATTTCTGTCAGGACCTGCCCCTCGGCGGGTATAAAGGATCAGGGCTCGGACGGGAGTTGGGGCAGGAAGGCCTGGACGCGTGGACCGAGACAAAGACTGTCTATATCTCGACAGCCTAGGCAGACCTGGGGTAGATCAATTTCTGAGAGTGGTCATGTACTGTAATACATGAGATGTACTTATTACCCATATCTTCTTCAGTTTTCTCTTCAAAAAATCGATAAAGGCAATCTCAACACGATTGTGGCAGGAGTACATTGTAAACTACTCATACATCAACAAAATCTACCTTAAAGCATAACAAGAATGATTCGATAGCTTCTCAGGCAGCCTTTCGATGGGCCATAAAGTGGTCAAGAGATTATACAGTCAGTCGCGATCTGGAACACCTCACCGTCCATGTTTGGGGAAATCGGCACCTCCAACTATCGGTTTATGTCCACTCGGTATACTCAATCTTACAAGGGAGCACTCATATCTCGTGACGGGAGATAACCGGAGGTGAGGTTTCAGATACTGTACTGGTTGGCCAGAGCCTGGTATGATATTAAATACACCTGGAGAGAAGCCAGCCTCCTTTACTAGACACGCGGAGATTAGTAACAATAGCGGGACCATCTTAGATGACTTTAGAACAAGCGTATTTCCAGCCATAAGCGACGGGCCGACTTTGAAGCAATTTATTATCAATATCAACGGCACACTAGCGGAGTTAAAGTCTTAAAGTATTGAAGAAGAAAGAGTCGTCTCGCTCACTTACTTCCACAGGATACTAGACCATGCAACGCCGTACAGCTGCTTGAATGACATATTAAGCTAACCTTGGATGTCAACGAAGTGGCACTATGGATGTCTACTGGCTTCCTTTCCTGCATAGTTATATTTATCATTCTGTTGTTATGGCTGTCCTGGGAGTCTCTGATTTTGCGTGTAGCGCACTCTTCCCTTCCAAGGTAAATGGCATCCACTCACATATCAACGTGGCAGAACCCAACAGGTTCCATATAAGTTGGAAATGGGCTTGCCCATGGATAAAGCCTCTAGGCGGGCAAATTCAACCCCTGCCCCTCAACCAAATCGGCAATTCTCTTTATAAGTCTTTGTCTGTCCGAACCTAAGCTAGCAGTCAGCTATAGGCTTCTTTAAATGTTGGGGTTGTCTGATGGAACAAGTTACACACCATCGAGAGTCGACCACACCGGAAATGCAGTCTTTGCACTTTGAACAGCACAATCAACATCCTCGGCTTCTGCTTCTTGTCGAGCCGAGGACGACCTATGCCGGTACCATCTATACCTATGTATCTCCAGACGCATGCCCGCATGAGCCCGTCATGGCCGCCAAAATACGTGGAGCATATCCTATAATTGCGATTGATCTCTATTCTGAGCGACTTTCACTGGCGAAAACCCTCGGTGCATCCCACTGTATACTCGGCACTGAAAGCAATATCGTTCAACGTATCCAAAGGATCTGCCATGAACACAATGGAGTTCAGTACGCTTTGGATTGCTCCGGGTCACCGATCGTTGTGCAGAATATGATTGATTCCCTAGCAGCGCGTGGAAGGGCGGCCAGAGTCGGGGCTCCAGCTCCTGGCACCTGGGTCTCGGTAGATGTATTTTCTCACTTTACCCTGGGAAGACAATATGTTGGCTGTCATCAAGGGGGAAGCATATTTGCTCAGATGCACGCATTATTTCAATTCCCCGCTGAACTACAGCTGGCTAACCATACTTGACATGCAGCTGATTCCGTTCCTGATCGAACAACATCGCAAGGGGTATTTACCATTGGAGAAGATTGTCACCTACTATCCTGTTGGCCGATTCCTTCAAGCACTTAAAGACTTAAAGGATGGCAAGGTAGTCAAGGCTGTTTTGAAGTGGGAAGGGGGAGATTCAGAAAACACCGATGCACAATCACTAGGAAGACTGTGACTGGCTTTGAAAACAAGACCCCTTTCTCAAGTAATGTCACACGTCGAGGTCAAGAGTCGTGTACGGGATTGTACTTATGATCGTTAGTGATGCCCGGAAGGCTAAAGAACCACATCACCCGAACATGCTTCCGAATGACTAAGCCCTTACTACATAGAAAGTAAATCTGTTTGTATCATTATTGTTTTGACGGGATCTTTCATTGGTCAACTTTTGCGCGGCTATGAAAAAGGTATCAGTGTACATGTCAAAGTTAAGGCTAACGGGTACGCCAAGGTTACAAAGTGCACCGAACTCATATGCTCAATAATTCTTGTGGCAAAATGACACAGTTCGGAGGTTCCACCATAACTGGTGAAGTTGGAATGTAGGACCTTCAATGTCCTAATAGTAGATGAATCATGTGCCTTGGCAAGAAGGGTCGGTACGTAGTAGACAATATTAGATATAATACCGTTCCATTTGACGGCGGCAGCCTGCGGCCTTGCCTGAGGCTGTCAGCTGACCGCCCACCTCGGTGGCCTTAGCTAGTTCTCGCAGTTAGCCTGACGTCAGAATCCAAGCATCTTCCACCTCTCGGAGGCGTCCTCACCATTGTTAATAAGTTGACCGGTGTAAAGCGAAAAAGACCTGGGTAATAAGATTTGATTGACTCCCAATCCACAGCCAACCAACTCTGGTTTCTAAATTTGTTTCCCAAAGCAGATAGGGCAAGCTTACTGATTTCCGACGGCGAATACTGTTCCGAATAATCGGACAGCTTACATATCCCTCCGCTGTCTGGAAAGGATATACTGATATAGATGTATATAGCCGATATAGCCGGCTGTTTTTATATTTCTGGTAATTTACATATCATTACAGTTGCTGCCAAGAAGACCTGGCTTATACGCTGTAGCACGTCGACTTCAGGCAATAATATTCCTTCCTTAATGCTGCTATAGTGACCAGCCTTCTTGGGCTTCTTGTGTCAACGCAAGATCTGAGGTAACGAGCTTGAGAGAGCCACAAGATTCCGGAGAAGTGACGCCGCTAAAGATTTCTCCATGACATGTAGTGATTCTGGAAGGAGCCATACACATTAAGGTTCTCGGCTATAGAAAGTTCATAACTGTTTCCGGCATTCTCGGGACTCCTATGGTAAGTAATACATCAAGTCATGCGGAACCGATCCTTGGCACAATGTCTCAATGGGCGCATTACCAAGAGAGCCGACTTGCTGACGTACAGTGAATTATTAATCACTCCGGCCTGTCTTTTCTGCGTACTGTATAAAGATGGGTTACCTTCATCCATAGTTATAATTATTTGAATGTAGAGCATATTCAGAACAATTTTCCTAAGAGCTCTTAGTTACTATTGTCGACAGTCATCATGTCTTCTTCTGTATTTCTCATTGGTCCGGGCTTCATCGGAGGAGAGATTCTGGACCTGCTCTTGAAGGAGAACTACTCTGTTACAACTCTTGTCCGTCGGGAATCGGCTGCTGCGGACTTTGCCAAACTGGGAGTCCAGACTGTACGAGGGACCTTGGATGACAAGGATGTGATTATCTCTCAAGTTGGTCAAAGCGATATTATCATCCATACAGCGACTGCTGATCACCTGCCCTCCGTGGAAGCTGTCCTAGAAGGCATTCGGCAACGCGCAGCCAACGCGCTGCAGACCATTTTCATCCATACTAGCGGTGCTAGTTTGCTCGCGGATAACTCTGCGGGTGCCTACAAAAGCCAAACGGTCTTTGACGATGAGAATCCAGCTCAGATTGACGCTCTTCCCGATAGTGCACCCCACCGGAAGATTGATCTGGCTATTGTGCGCGCACGCAATGAATTGGCAGCATACGCCAAGCTTGCCATTATGATTCCTCCTCTCATCTACGGCATTAGTACTCGAGAAAAACGAACCTCAATTCAATTACCGACGATCGTTCGCTACTCTCTCAAACACGGCTATGCAGGCCAGATTGGTGCTGGTCGGTCTGTCTGGAATCAAGTCCATGTGAAAGACCTTGCGCGTGGCTACATAACCTTGCTTCATTGGCTGGAGTCAAGGCCGTCTTCGGAAGTGGTCCAAAATCCCTACTTTTTCTGTGAAAATGGACAGGAACTTTCTTGGGGCGAGTGCTCTGCGGAGATCGGTCGCATCTTGCAGAAGGATGGTCGGATCAAGGATTCTACCCCCAGGACTATTCCGCCAGAAAACTATGCCGATATTTTCGGTGACTACTCTGAAATAGTTGAAGGATCAAATGCTAGACACCGGGCAAATCGTCTTCGCAAATTGGGCTGGGCGCCATCGGAGAAACAGACCTTCGCATCTTTGGAGGAAGATGAGATTCCACTCATTCTGACAGAAAAAGAAGAGTTCAAGGGCTACTCAAAGCCTGTTGCTTCTTGAGTTATAACATGGTGTTTGCTTCCCACATTGATGAAAAAATGTTGATCAATGTAACCCTGGTTGTTTTGAACATCATCATTCCCTGTCTAAGACCTACATTGAATGTCAGGTAATTTTTGGAAGCGATTATTCAGTGAATGTAAGCTTCACCTTCAAAACACGGTGATCGATCAACCAGGTTGCTCCAGTTTGTAGCTCTGAGGCCCAACGGTTTGGCCATTGAATGACCTCATATCGTAGCTTGCAATTCGGTTCTAATCTCGGCCCACTTTTGCTATCGAGTTGACCGCGGTTATATGCCATTATCGTTTCTCGCGCATTGTCACACAGACCCCGACTTCAATAACGTCAACCCGCCAGTCCAACCGAATGGATCATATCTTCCTTCACTCGAGTCTTACTCCGGCGAGGAGACAAGCTGTCCAAACAAGGAAGCATCCTTCTACTCAATTCGCCACCGTAGGGCCCGTTAAGTCTGCTCCGACCCTGCTGGAGATGTGGATGGGGTCGCCAACTTGTTCGTCATGTGATCGCTGATGTCACTGTCGGGAGTGAATAAATACAGATTGAAAGTCAGAGCGCAACACTGTTTCTTTCTCACACCATCCGACTTCGACTCGACCATCAACTCCATCTCAATCATGGGCTCCGTTACACATATTGTGCAACTCCAATTTCGCAAGGATGTTGATGCAGCCACCGTTCAAGATGTAGCTATTATGAATCGAGAAAGAGTACTCTCACTGTCCTATCTGTACTAATCCCGATCAGGCCATCCAACGAATGCTGAACCTGAAGGAGAAGTGTATCCATCCGGAGACAGGAAAGCCTTACATCGTCTCAAGCACAGGAGGGAAGGAGTGCTCGATTGAAGGAATGCAGGTGAGATTGTATTTCTACTGGAGTGCATAGAATGATTCATATTGTTTCTTCTATCTAACTGCCTGGAATTACAGGATGGCATTACTCATGTCTTTGTGGTTGTCTTCGCGTCCGTCGCCGATCGTGATTATTATGCCCAGAAGGATCAGGCTCACCTCGACTATGGTGCTAGCCTTTTGCCCATCGTGGAGAAAGTTCTGGTTGTTGACTTTGCACAAAACATCTACTAGAGGAGTTTATACTGGAGGACTGCAACAATATGGCCGCACCAGTATTAAACACATGTTCGGGCCTCCGTCGACATTTCTTCTTGCACTTGTCGCCGGTGAAATCTGCGTAGCATGGCTTGGCTCGTGTTGTGCCCGAACGTTAGGTCCTATACTCGCCGTCAACGTTCTGTTATCCGGTCTAAGAAGTCCTAAGACATTTGGAACTCCAGATTTATGGTCACCCTATCGCGGATCTGTTGTCGAATGCGTTGTTGAGAGAGACATAGTGGGTGGTACATCCATAGATACGTGATCAGTGAGGTGCCAAATGTTTGTTGCCCATGGATCGCTCTCAGCGAATTGACCTAAAATTCCCTGTTCCTTTAAAGATCGTGGTGTTACAGAATCCTCTCATCATGCTTGGCCATTCCTCATCCATAACAAACCCGTGATTGACCAGACTTCCAAGGGTGTAAGACCGATTTGTATGGCTGAAGATAAGAGAGACCACGCCTTCCTCGCCACTCGCAATTTGAACAAAGGGCCACTGTCGAGTTTGCGGTGGAAAAAATGCCTGTTCCGTCCCGCCTGATATGTGAGTACTGCTGGCAAGTATGGTTGCCGAGCGTTTCCCTTGCCACTGGGTTTCCATGGGAGGTCCTTCCCGCGGCTTCAATAACCACATGTCTAACTGACGGAATGGGTCCGAGTCGCCGCCTTCTCCGGGCCGCGGCCTCATGCTAGTAAGTAACACATAGTGATGAGGCATATTGCCGCGGCGGCATGCCCTGATGATGCCGCATGCGGCAAGCTGCCGGTCCAGATAAATAACCACACCAATTTCAGAGCTACTTTGATGATTTCACGCCATTGCTCGTATATCGCCAAACATAACGCAATCTCCCTAGAGCATCCTATTTGAACTTTCCCGCAAAATGGCCAAAAAACTCGGCTTTGATCTGCCTAACGGATGCCATCTCGTTCACGGGAGTGGGTCGCTCATCAAGACCGCATATTCGCCCGAAACCGGGTTGCCTGGTACCCTGCAGATCCTCAGCTACGGTCATGACCAAGACTCCAGTTCTGTGGCGTTTTGTGGCCCCAGTGGTCTTTTCCAATTCGATACAACCTGCCGCATGCCCCGTCACGTGCACATGGCACCCACAAAGGAAGGAGAGGGGATGCAGTATGTGGTGGAAAAGATCATAGTCTTGAACGGGGTTGCCATTACGGAACTGGGGGGAGAAATCTACGTCGTACCTCCAGACACTATGGTCACTATTGGACACGGCGTACCTCATTCATGGGTCGCTGCCCCCTCTGGCATGGATTTGCAAGCGCTGGGAGTTGCGGATGAGCCGATTGTGTCACGTGGACAGTTTCTGGCGGTTTTTGAATACGAGATGCCGACCTCCTTCTTCCCTACGCGCCAGACACAAACCCTGCACACGGAAGAAGATTACGTGAGATGTGATGACTTGCACTCTATTAGAATTGCAGAGATGGATGCTGAATACCTGAGAAAGAATGCCTGGTTTGTTTGGGGGAATTCATGTCGAAAGTTAGGATCTACGAAGCACAGCAATTGAGCGATGCATGGCTACTAGCAAAGTCTCACAGCTCTTCAATGTCGAATCGCAAGCAAACCCCAATGTATATGGGAAATTGAGGAAGTTAGTCGGCATGGTTCGAGAGTGCCTGATCTTTGGCCTTAGCCAATTCGAATCGAAGCCGTGCACCTGATATAACACAATCATCTGAACATTAGAGAAACGTGTCTGGATCATAGTTGTGGGTATATAACGGCAGAGAAGGGGTAAATATATGTACCCCTATCTCGCATAGTAAGGTGGATTCATTATCGAATGCGTGAGCGAAGAGCCAATCTGTAAAGAATAACATGTTTGAACTACTAGGCCTGGCAATGGTTGTTTTCTTGGGCTCATGTTTTTCTGCTACGATATTCTTCGTCGGTCAGGATGTGCTATAATTCTTCGTGACTATGGTTGTTGCCCTACCCTTTAAAGGCCGTACGTTGTGGAAAAGAAATCCGGTAGCAACATGTTCCCCACAATGTTTGGCATCCACTCTTGATCCAATCCCAAACGTGTGTTAGGAGAGACGCCTGCCCAGGAGCCATCTCTGATGAAGACCGGCCTCTGTTCTAGTGACTCAATGGGGGGGTTTTGCGCCATGTGGTCCGCATGCCCTTGTGGGTTATAGATGCCAGAAGTAGTAGATACTTCCATTTCAGACAGAAGATAGCTGAAAAGAGCCATTGCCCATTTACCAGGATCCCAGTAATCCTGCGCTCCATTGAGAGCCATCTGACAGTTGTCAAAACTTGCCTGAGCCATTTTGGCTACTTGGACATCGTTGGAGTTATGAGCTTGTTGGAAGAGCAAGATACCTGCAACGAAGAAGGCAGGAAACACTTCATGAGGAATTGTGCATAACGATGAGTTCAATACAAGTTTGACAGCAGCAGATGATATCGCGAAGGCTGACGAATTTGCAGTGGCGGCCAAATCGATATTCGTTCGATGGAGCTCATCAGAGTGGGGCTGACCAGGCAGGTTCATGTAAAGGAGCATGCGATGGTAGTTCCAGAGAATATCCAAATGCACACCTGTTATTGATTGTTTGATGGCCTCCTCATCATTCCTGGCCTTCCATGTATCCAATTGCAGCTGGATCGCAGATGCAGATAAAGCTTCATTGACTGGTCCAAATCGAAATAGCATGATTCTCCGCAGAATCAAGGACAGTTCAACAACACGAATTTGATAGTCAAATGCGGCTCTGCATTCACAAGTATGACATGGTTCAACGCCTGTGTGCGCATCCACAAAATCCGCACGCGACAGCATATCAATATCACTTTGCGTTATATTGATTCGGAAAGGACGACCAAGAAGACTTGAGCAGTGTGCATCGCGGAGAACTAGAATCCACCATAGTCTCTTGAGCAGAGACCTGTCCTGGGCTTGGTGTTTTAAGCTAGCAGCTTTGCGATGCAATCCCAGTGAGACACCAACGGTGGCACCAACCTCAATCCATGAGCTCGGATTCCAGTAACAATCCATTTGTGGTCCGTGAAAGCTCATCATAATGGCGACTTTGAGTAGAATGATCTTGTTGTTTTCATAGTTGAAATCGAACAATGCCTTGGCACGATTGTAATACAAGCGCCGTGCGGGCCTCCGGGAATTGAACCCCGCGCGGTAGACAAGACCAAGATCGCCAAATGTCATTGCAATAAAGCAAATGGAGTGGAGTAAGATCCACGGTATCTTACGCTCTTCATGAGCCCGTAGGAGATCTCCCGGGTTCACCACTGGGTAGTATGGATAAAATCGATCAAGAAACACGTTAATCATGTTTGACAATAACGCCGGTTCTGGACAGTCGAATGCTCCTTTTGCCTTCAGGCAATCAATCTCGTACTTTTCAAGATGCTCTGGATGGATTCCATCCTGAACAATTCCAAGCGAGCGACTATCGCAGATGGAGTAGCTGGTGTCATGCAAATCTAGGACTGTTTCTGGGCGGAGCTGAAGTGCGAATGTCAAAGGCGATGGCTCGCCGAAAAGAACAAGCCCTGATTTCAGACACTCCTCTCTATGCTGTCTCACGAAGTGCTGAAACATGGATGATATTGACGATGCATTCCTGGCGTTCGATGCATCAATGGAACCAGTCGGTGGTGCGATACTGCTGGCGGAACCGCCATTCGGGCTTGATTCAGACGCGTCTACAGCGTTGGCGGTTGGAGGGGAAGAAATTATTGCTGGAAGGTGTGGATAGGCTCGCGTTCCCGAAGTTTCGCGGGTTACGGGGGCCGGATGGTTGCCACGCTCACTCGCAGTGAACGGGTCCGATTGATTTGGCGAACATCCCGCGAACAGTTGGTTTTCCGACTGGATCTCTGGTCTTTCTATCCGCTGCTTGGAGCGACGACTGTAAGTGCCTCGCTTAGAGGCGAGCAAAACACATTCTCGGTGATTATCCATGCGACAGCGACTGCAGGGCAGCCCGCCCTGCACTGCGTCACATTTCACTTTCAGTTGATTGCACCTTCGGCAGGCCTTCGCCGCTCTCAGTCGGCGTTTTGGACAGGTATCGGCATTTGGGTCATGGTCTTTGAGATGATCGTCTGCCAGAGGACACATGATCCGAACTATCTGGCGGTCTGCTTGCACGATATCCTAGGATCACTCCACGTACTTCGTTTCAATCGAGGCTGCTTTCAGGCATATTTTGCCGTCTTGGCGAGCTTCTAGCGCTGATGCGGGGTGATGGAATTGATAAGCCTTTCAATGCGGAAGCTCCGGCGCCGGAAGAAGGCATGTTCCGGGATGGGTCCGCTGATGCCAAGACCAGAAGAACTTGCATGATGTCATGATACAGCTGGAACTGAGCAAAGTGTGAATAGAACATAGTGGTGGCCGCATGATATAAGTCAACCGTCATTTCCCCATGCCCCCAAAGGGAACATAATTTAATGGGCAGGAATGCGTGGAGCAGAAGGACATTATTGCCCGGAGCATACCCATCTACAGGGGGAATCTATGTGTCCATTTTGAACGGCCCAAATGTCCCGTTGGGTTTTAACAAGAAAATCAACCTTGCGTTTCCACCCAGAACTCAACCTGCACCCCAGTAATGCCTCTATCCAAGCTTTGCGGGGAGCTCGGCTAGGAGACACAAGTGGGCGGTGTTCCAGGGCTAACAGCTCGGGATTGGCTACATTGAGCGTATAGAGTATATTACCTACCGTTTCATCGACCATATCGCAATTAACATAGGTACTTGTATAGTGACTGTGGGTTGCAAATTGACAATATCATTGAACCACAATGTGCCTTGTCGACTTATAAGTCCTTCATTTATCATTTGACTTATGGGCACTCGTTTACTTAAGAAATTGATATATTCGATGCCCCGAAGCTCCGCAGCATACTTAACAGTAATAGAAAGGCCATGCTCACTGACCGAAGCCGCATAATAAACCCACTGAACGCCTGATTTGTGCTCGGTGGGCGGGAGCGCGCCGCTGAGCAGAACTGCGAAGCTGGGTTTGTTCTGTCCTCATTAGACTTTTGCGTTTGTCGTGGGCTACATGGGTGTTGCAAATAAATAACCTACCGACTCTCTCAAATAAAGGTGCTCGGCAGTTGTTAGAAATACGCAACCTTTTTCCTGCTGTTCTACGAGTATCCAGAACACTAGTAAAACAGTACTTGGCGACAATTTCTATGCGGACGTACATGCTTAGTCACTATCCTGGCCCCTGCGGATCGCAGTATGAGAGCCTCTCACTGAGACGGTAAATTGCTGACGATCGTAGCAAATAACCTTGCAAATTTTATCACCCGAGCTTCAGTGGTCAACAATTTCTCCCAGCGCTGGACACCATGGTCGACGATCTCGACTCTGGTGTTTTCTCCATCGAACACATTCCACGCCCCTGAAGACCTGTATGACTGCCAAGGAGCTTCCCCGTAAGCATGGCGTAACATCATCTCGGAAAATCTATTGGCTGTTGCTTGGCAGGAACGAGGCGCCGTAGGACCAGCGACAGCGGGGTAGCGACAAGTGTAAGTGTTATCCAGCACATGGTACGCAGCTCCCTTGAACACACTGTTTTCATCTTCATCCGCCTGGTCAAACCGGTAAATGTACACTGGTGGCGAGTTGGGATCACGACAGGCGTTCGCGAGATTAAATGGCAAGGGCGCGAAGCATGCATCTGCAAGGACAGAAACGAATCCCTGTACTGCCGCTGCGTCAGAGCTGGATTGTTGAATACCATATTCATGCAAAGCCTCGTCGCAAAAAGATGGATCTTGTGGCAGAAACAGTCCACCACGGAGAGAGGCGATCACAGATTCTTTAGTTTTCCAGAGTTTGACAAAGCCAAAAACTGACATTTCATCCCGCATCGTCCCCGACACGATTGCCTGAACCCAAGCCGGAAAGGTCCCCACAGAGTCTAGTGGTTGTTCGGGATCGCCATGGCCTACAAACCATTTTGGATCCCAAACCGGAGACGTTGCCCCTTCGTTCCAAGTGACTAATACCTCCTGGGGAATCGACCGCAAAGCAGCAAGCTTCTCCGCAGCTGTAGCACTGACAGGGACTCCAGTGCGCTGCACAAGTTTGTCAAATCTCTCCTGGGCATCCTCCGGTCTGAGCATGGACCAAAACGGGGCTGATTGCAAGATGCCACGTTGACAAAGAGGCTGGTCTGATTTAAGGTGAGCTAGGACAGACCAGGCCCCGGCAGACTCTCCAGAAATTGTAACCTTAGTATTATCCCCTCCGAATAGACCTATATAGTTTTTAACCTGGTAACAGTCTTAGCAATCTAGGCATATTGGAAGCATATCGAAGTTCGACATACCCATTGCAGTGCCAGTCGCTGGTCGTACAGGCCTTGATTTGCCCATCCCACTTCTTCAAAATTGACTGCCTCTTCGGTGAGCTCTGAAGAGGATAAGAATCCGAAATGCCCAAGTCGATAATTGATGGAGACAAAAATGACAGGTTTTCCAGTCGCTACGGCGTGTTGGATTAAGAAGTCACCAGCTGGTTTGTTTTTATTAGTAGATTATTATCGGCAAGAGAATATTCAATAGACATGCTTACAGAAGTCAGCGTTACCATTCTCGAATGACCACCCACCTCCATGGATCCAAACAATTACAGGAATTTTCTTGTCCGAGGACAAGGCCGACATAGGCGCGTAGATATTCAGACAGAGGCAGTTTTGTTCGGATTGCTTCTGGTTGGCAGCAGGGGCACCAACGAAAAGGTGCCGCCGATGACCACGAGAACCATCAGAAATCTGAGGACAGATTGGTCCAAATTTCGTCGACTCGACAATAGCATCGCGACTCTCAAATTCAACGAGCCGAGCTTGACGAAAGCGGGCTGGGACGTGCGCGAATTGTATGCCAAGAAAATGAGCAACCCCCAGCACGGAGCAAAAGCCTCGGAATTCTGATTTGTCATTAATCGGAACGCTGATGTCGCTGGCTTTGATGCCAGCTTGCGCCGGTACTGCACTCCCGGTTCTGGACATGGAGTTCATTTAAGTGAGCAAACGTTTGCACAAGGGACAACTGGGTTATGTATGCTCTAACAGAGTGAATCGGTCAAAATATGATTCTCACCCTAATGTAGGATGCAGAACTCCGCCTTAGCTATACCGCCGCTGCGATATGTGTCATAATTAAGGCGCTGGCTTAGATGTAGCCGGTATAGCCGAGTCGCAAAGCCGAGCCATAAAGCCGAGCCACTGCTGACAAATGAGTGGAAAAACTGCCTACTCAGATTATCAATGAAACTGAAGGGTACTTGATGGTGCCGTCGTCAAGGGATTGGAATATCAGGCAGTCTGAGCTCATCAATTCTAGTGACTCGGGAGGTGAATCCTCGACGAGGCATTACGTGCCTGAGTAGAGCTGGTGGATGATATGCGAGTGGGTGCGGGTAAAAATAAATCGATCTTAGAAAATGGGTAGGTACAGAGTACAAAGTAAGCTTGGGGGAACTGTTGTGCTGTGACCACGGAAGATGCATAGAGTGATTCAATTGAGGATAGAAGATGGTGATTCAGTAATGGACAATCATCTCACTTCGATTAATAACTTATACTTGGCAAGGACTAGAAACTGCATTTGCTGCTCATATATGTTAGAGACTCAAATACTGATTAGACATGGCAACCTCAGCTTAATGACCCAGGGCTCGCTTATCTGACTTGTTCAATACAGTACTCACCCGAAAATCTCGTCTTTCATCAGAACACGTCCCTCTGGGGTATTCTGAAAGACGAGAGGAGCAAACAAATTGTTTCCTTTCTCCGGCGCGTTCCACTAGAAATTGTTTTGAGTTTACGTCCTGTGCCTTTAATAGGTAGTGAGATAGGTTCTTCATATGCTGCGCATCTGCTAGGGGCCCGAACCATGTTCTTTTCTCATTAGCAGCCTGGCTCGAGAGCTGCCGGCTGGCCCCAATTTAAAGCTCGGTAAATCCAGTGACAACGTGCAGGGAGGCTGGTCACTATGGCAGCATTAAGAAAGGAGTATTATGGAATCCAGTTCGGTAGTCTTTATTTTAAGGTTTAAATAAGCTTATTGACAATCAATGATATAACGAGAAAGAGCACATATTAGACTACCAGAAGCATAATAAACAATTAGTACCTATAGCCTAGCACTGCGAAGGCTATAAGCTCGCCTTTTTGAACAAAGAAATGATCATCAAGCACGGGCATAGCTTGTCCTAGAAGCTTGTATAAACTGGAACAATTCTTTGTTATAATTTCAACAACTCTAGACTAAGATCTGACATTCATAATGACGGCTCATTGTGAGGTTCCCGATATTCTACACTAAAGTGTGGTTGTCAATTTTTTCATAAACTAAACAATGCCATAGTCGACGGGTATAAAGCCCCAGTCGATGCCAACTACCTATCCTCCCAAAATCATCACTGGCTAATTCCTCAAGGTCAAGTCTACTACTACCAGACTCGACGGATACTAGCCACTGTGCGCATCTTATCCACTTAAGCCCTATCATCCCTGTGGCAATGTCTCATATCACTGCCACGCTTATCTACACCCTTCTCGTTACCCTCGCGGTGATTGGAATGGGAATAGCAAACCACACTTATCCCGGCGCGGAGCTCGAGGCCGAACGGTATCATGCCTACGCGGTGTGGAACCCGCATACCGCAGATTTCGACGTCTCCATGACCGACAGCGTTATGCATGGGTATCTCCGCGAGCAAGGCTGTCTCATGGAGTTGAAGCCCGAGCCCCAGGGGTATGCGCTAGGCGTCAACCTCGTGACACACCTCGAGCGTCTGATGAACGAGGTGGTCCTGGAGCTCTTGGCGCTGCTTCCCGGCCAGGCGGAGGACTACTTCGCGGCGATCCAGGAGGTCTGCGATCTCCTGTTTGGCCGGGGGTTTGCCAACGTTCTGGTTGAAGAGTTCATGAAAGACGCCGCGCTGGAGGACCTGAACGACCTCGAGCTCACGGTGGGTCTCCTCCACCGCGCTGTCGATGACCTCGTGCCGGACGTTCTCGCCCTCCTTCCCAAGCTGCAGGACGTGGTCGAGCATGTGATGCAGATGAGAGAGGAGGAGGAGGAGGAGGACATCCCGCCTGCAAGCATGTTGCAGGAGGTTGAGCATTACCTCCTCGAGAAGGTTTTCCTTTCGCCGGATGTGGTTGCTGTCCTGCGCAAGGTCCAGGACTATAGCGCGAAGTTGCAGAAAGTCCTTCCCCGGCAGTTTCGGGAGTGGTTCGTGCGGCTCACGCCAACCGGCAGCTAGAACTTCGAGTTGTCGCTCAGTGCGAGTAGGGGCGAGGACGAGGCCGAGGTGACGATTGATCTCAGCATCCAGGATATCCTCAACCGCTGGGAAGAGCACAAAGCTTCTGACAAGCTCGAGCTCTAGGTGGTTGGCTGGATATCGCCGGATGGAACATCCCTTTGAATCCTAAATTGGCATTTCATTTGTTTTGGACAATTTTTTTTCTTGAAAAGGATAGTATCAGATTTCAAGAGTTCAGAGGTTTCACGTTGAATATACTTAATCCCGACTTTTGTCCGTCCGTGCGTAGTCCTAAGGTGGTGTGGAAGGAGCTGGAAAGCCAAGATCTCGACCTGCAATATAGAAGGTTACCACCAACCTTATCATAACCCCCTTTGACAGGACATAAGACTGCTCCCCGTTGGCAAATTTAATGTCTAGGTAAGTCTGCATAAGCACAGTACTATCCATGTAACCCCATCACAACCGCAGTGGGTCGCACCGCCGATCAATGCTGAGGAGTTGCGTCTCCCGCGACCGGAGACTGTCCGCCTGGCGGTGAACCCACCACGCAACCATCGTATGCTGTGCAACCGAGTCGGTTGATGTGGAAAGGTGGGGTTGGGACAAAGGTGAGGCTGCTTTGTCGTAGGACGGGCTCATGGGCAGGTCGAGCACGTTCAGCGTAAGGCTTCCCTTTAAAAACCGCGTCGATCTCCCCACAAAATGTTATTCTGAAACCCCGACACCGACCGGTATACTTGCTTTCAACAGAAAACCCCAACAATCAACATGCCATCAGCGTCTACTTACTCGGTCCCCCAAGAATCGAAGCAGGTCTTCGAGACTGGCATCCTGAACAATCCGCTTTTCAACCATCTTCCCCCGGAGCTGCCGAAGCTGGCCGAATACGTGCAGTTCGAGGGCTCCGCACAGCCCAGCATCCCCATCAACTGGAGGTTTGCAGAGAGTATCTCCGCGCTAAAGGCATTCGAAGCGACCATGGTCAATCACTTGATCACGCGAAAGTATCAGGTTGACCCGGTCGGAGTCACTATCAACACGTGAGTTTACGCCTACCTAAAATGCAGGGTCTGCATCTAGCTGATAATATCCACGCCTGGCATTATAGAGACCATGCGTCGCTGTATTTTATGAGTCCGTTACTTGCTCAGGTAGTTGACTCTGATGGCAAGCCCAAACCGATCAATCTCTTCGACTCCAGCATGGCTCAGCTGTTCCCCGAGCAGGACAAACATCGCGCGGCCGATGGCGACCATCGCCGTCTCGTGACCAATATCTACAAGACCAAGGATGGTCGGTTCTACCATATACATGGTAGGTGGCGTCTCTCTGAACGCCCAGATAATGGTCAAGGACTCATCTAAATGACACCGAATGCAGGCAGCATGAACCCTAACCCAACCCTGACAGCGCTGGGTCTCCCTCTCGACGGACCCGCAGAAGATACATACCAGTCAGCGGTCGAGCGCATTCAGAGCGCAGTATCCCAGCACGACTCCGCCACGCTGGACCACCTGATGAACGAACAGTCGCGCCAGGCCGGCACGGTCGCATGGACTTCGGACGAGTATTTCGCCTCGGAGCACGGTCGCCAAAACAGCCACGTGGGATTATATGAGATCGAGAAGGATGCGCACGCCGCCCAGCCCCCGTCCTGGTGGCCCGAACAGCCTAGCCTGCCCTCATCACCCAAGCGACCGCTCGCCGGTCTCAAGGTTGTGGATCTGACTCGAGTGATTGCCGCGCCCTCTATCACCCGGGGGTTGGCCGAACTGGGCGCCAGCGTCATGCGGGTCACTTCGCCTCATATCACGGATATGTCGGTGCTGCATCCAGATCTCAACTGGGGGAAATGGAATTGCTCGTTGCACCTAAAGGAGGAGGCCGACCGGGAGCGATTGCGGCAGTTGATCCGCGAGGCGGACGTGGTCGTGGACGGGTATCGACCGGGCGTGATGGATCGGCTGGGGTTCAGTCGGCGGGACATTTTCGACCTGGTGAAAGATCGATCGTCTGGGATCCTGCATGTGCGCGAGAATTGTTATGGGTGGCAAGGGCCTTGGAGCCATCGGAGTGGCTGGCAGCAGATTAGTGATGCGGTGAGTACCCCTACCCAGTACTTCCTTCTCTCACGCGGCTGACTCGCACTTTTGCGATAGTGTTGTGGTGTATCGATGAGGTATGGGCAGGTGATGGGCTTGGATGAACCTATAACCCCTGTCTTCCCTAACTCGGATTATTGGTGAGTTAACTCGGTCGGTTTCGGGTTCTGACTGCATTTCGCTAACAGGTGTGGATGCTATATAGTACCGGAGTTGCGGGAGTTGCCGCCATCCTCGAAGCGTTAGTGAGAAGAGCAGACCACGGCGGCAGCTATGGCATTGATGTGCGGCCTACCACCCGCACCCTTTCGTTCGAAGAGCTCCAGCTAACCAGGTGTACCGTGTATAGGTATCACTCAACTATTACTCGCAATGGTTGGTCCGCTCGTGCGGCACCTACGACCAGGAGGTCTGGTCCGAGCTGTGGACGCGCCACGGCTCGCCCGTCTTCCGCCACTACCACGCGATGCCTTATCTTCTGCCGGAGATGATGAAACTGCTGCACCAGCACGACGCGCAGACACTTTTCCATGCACAATTTTTCGAGACTCGTCACTCGGCTGCGATTGGCGCGAATTTCAGGGTAGTAAAGCCTGTTGCGCAGTTCGGGCGGGCGGCCGTGGAGCTTGGGTATAACGTGGGGACGCGGGGTAACGGAGTGGATTTGCCGGTTTGGCCGGCCGATTTGAGGACGGAGGTTGTGCGGTGAGGGGAACCTAGTAGCCATGAGTGCAGTGAGTGCGGTTGCATACTGCACCGGTGATGAGAACATGATACAGGATGCATGGTTGGAGGATGTCCGGAAAGCTCTTTATTCCATGTAAAGTGGGGGGGTTGTCTTGTGACGCCTGTTGACAAGGGTCGGACCGTGGTAAGAGCGGGGATGTCCAAGACTGCCCGCTGAGTCAACACCTGATGCCTTCAACACAAGCCACTGGTTGTAAAAACACAAGTCAGTGCTAAAGGCTTTACGTGAAGTAATGTCCATTGTGAACCATGGCGCAATCATCAAAGATTCACCTTAGAGACCATGTAGCACATGTATATGTTCAAAGCAAGGCTGGTGCCACAACCGACTCCGGCCACGTGCGATCGGATATCGTGCCGATTTTGTGTCATCACGGTCAGCACAGCAAGCATAACGAACACTTTGCAGGGTTGGTTAGACTTTTCCAGCTTATGTCCGCATCTTGCATCCATACTGGGAAGAGATCAACTTTACCAACACGAGAAACAGTGGCCAGGTCACAACAGAAGAGCAGCGTAACAAACCGGATTGGTCGAATCATTGCCGAGAGTGGGCCACTGACTCAGTGTGGCCCGGGTTCAGCCAGAGCTGCCCAGTCCATAGGCCAACATGAAACACTGAATCAGCGCTTCCTCCCCGGGGTTGTCCTCAAATCAATTTGACTCTTAACGCCTATCCCCGCTCTTACCTATATGCTGGCTGGGTTGCTTCAGATTTGCAATCCTTTGCCGACTCAAACCAATCACCCTCGAAGAGCCTCCGCTGTGACCTCAGCACAATAATTGTGCCCATGCACATAGTCAATATGCAGCCGAATTCGCCGACAGCATCCTGGTTGATGCATATTTTTATGCTGCCAGCAACCTTTAGCCCCAAGCCTGTCGTCAACAGACCCATTTATAATCTCTCCAGCATCGCCCTTGCCTTGCATTTTGCAGTTCTCATTTCGTACTCACTAAATTTCTCTTTCTAGTACATATTTAATACCGTTGTAGTTTCATCTACATCGCCTCACTCCATCCACTCGTTAACCTTCTCTTCATCTCTGCGATCGGCCACTTTCTATAGTTACTCTAATCTCCAGCACGACTAATTCTCCGATAGGCGGAAACTCACTAGGCGGACAATGGAGGACGTGGAAAGCCAACGGCGCTTCTCGGAGAAATCCGCTTATTCGGGCACATCCAACGACCAACCCACTTTAACAGAGGATATAACTGTCCCGGCTACCGCTACACCAACACGTCCACTATTTCCTGAAACCGACCTTAGTCAAGGCATCGTGGGATGGGATGGGCAAGATGATCCTCATAACCCACAGAATTTCGCCAGTGAGCGCAAATGGGGCCTGCTCGCTCTGATCAGCTCTATCACCTTTATTTCGCCGCTCGCGTCGAGTATGTTCTCTCCGGCGGTGGAGTACGTGGGCAAGGACTTTGGGGTGTCCAACGAATACCTGCTATCCTTCAGTGTTACTATCTTCTTGCTGGGGTATACGGTACGTTTTACCCGGGCCCGATCCCGTCATATCGAATCTAACCAATACCTTGCGCTAGGTCGGACCCCTCTTCCTCGCCCCTCTCAGTGAGATTTACGGTCGTCGCATTGTGCTCAGCTGCGCCAACTGGTTCTTTGTGGTATGGCAGATCGGCTGCGCCCTCGCGCCCAACATCTCCGCGCTGATTGTCTTCCGCCTTCTTGCCGGCATGGGCGGTGTCGGCAGTCTCACGCTCGGCGCCGGTGTCATCGCAGACCTCTTTCCCACCGCACAACGTGGCATGGCCACCTCCATCTGGGCCCTCGGCCCCCTGATCGGCCCCGTTGTCGGGCCCATCGCCGGCGGCTTCATCGGCGAAACCATCGGCTGGCGCTGGGTGTTCTGGATCCTTCTCATCACCGGCGGGTGCATCTCCGCGGGCATCGAGGTTCTCAACCGGGAGACCTACGCCCCAGTCCTGATCCGGTGGAAGACCGAAAATCTCGCCAAAGAACTCAACCGGAGCGACCTGCGCAGCGCGTACGACAAATCCAGTAGCCAGGGCGGGCCCCGTCTCAGTGAGGCCCTGAAGCTCGGGCTCAGCCGCCCCTTCCTCCTCCTCTTCAAGTCCCCCATCGTTCTGTTGCTGTCCGTCTACATGGCCTTCGTCTACGGGCTCCTCTACCTCTTCTTCACGACCATCTCCTCCGTCTTCCAGGAGGACTACGGCTGGTCGACGGGCATCTCGGGACTAGCCTACTTGGGAATCGGCATCGGCTTCATGACGGGCCTAGCCCTGATCGCGTTCTCGAGCGACCGCATCGTGGCCAAGCTGACCGCGCGCAACGGAGGCAAGTTTGAGCCCGAGATGCGGCTGGTAACCATGATCTTCTTCAGCTGCATCCTGCCCATCAGCTTCTTCTGGTACGGCTGGTCCGCCAAGTACAGAGTGCATTGGATCGTACCCATCATCGGCATGGCCCCCTTTGGCATCGGCATGATGGGCATCTATATGCCCATCCAGACCTACGTCATCGACTGCTACCCGGCATACGCGGCGTCGGCCAACGCCGCCCTCACGGCCACGCGGTCGCTCGTCGGCGCGCTGCTGCCCCTCGCGGGCCCGGCCATGTTCGATGCCCTCGGGCTGGGCTGGGGCAATTCGTTGCTCGGATTTATTGCGTTGGCGTTCGTGCCTGTGCCGATCCTGTTTAATCGGTATGGCAAGTCCATTCGCGAGAAGTTCCCCGTGGATTTGGAAGGGAAGAAGGGGAAGTAAGCTCGAGGAGGCTGTGTCTGGTGCGGGTGTTCGCTTGGTGTTCTGGTGTCGTAGAAGCATTATAGAGCTAATTAGATACGTCTCTCCTTCAATCTGGTAAGGCTTGCAGGCAGCAGTGGGACTTGGGTGTGGTGGTCCTCCGCCACACGCTCTGGTGTCTTTGCCTGCAAGCTTCCCTGTCTGCTAGTCAAAAAGGTCCCAGTGACTCAAATCAAAAGCATTCGTTATTCTTTGCTTATTTGCGTGTCCTACTATTGTTCTGTGTCCCCAAGTAACCCGATCGCCTGGTTCTGGCAATTCACCAAGCGGGTTGCCCACCACGAGATCTTAGCTGGTGCAACCAACCAACCAACCAAGAACTAGGAATTAAGATATAGCTACATATCGCCAATCATTGAGCTTCATGAAAGTGCCGACACATTCCTTGTCGCGAGGCTCCGTCGTTGAAGTTAATTTCCAAGTGCTGATTCTCGTAGGCCCATATATATATTTTTGGATCAGTCGAGCCCCCTGCCACCTACATTCTCAATAGAGACTATCAAGCAGCTGAGTTTTCCAACCTACACGATGGATAAGATGACTGCAAGAAAGGTGAAGTTTAAGGATCATACAGTCAAAAAAAATTCTTTCTCGATACTTGAACTGCCTGTAGCAATCGAGGTGTATCATGGTCGCCTCATCGCAGCGACTCACGTGACCATTTTACTTAAGTGATCGAAGGCCATCATTCAATTTATAGCTTAGATAGTGATATTCAACTACAACAAAATTCTCTATCGAAAACTACCTAGATGTGCTCATTTACTTGACAATCATGGAATCGATAATAAATGTTGACCGAGTTGTAGTCTAGCTGGCCAGACAGAGAATGTATATAGTAGACGGTGAGTCCTATAGAAGTTCACTCCCTGCTGCTGGTCGCGTGCAGGGACCCTTCGTGCATGAGATGTAGAACTTTGGAAGAAACTGTGAGCATTGTGATCAAGACTGCTCATGCAAACTGTTGGTACTTCGTTATGTCAGGTATGACTGCTTGCTGCAAGATATTGCATCATACGGGTCCTGCATGGTACAGAACGCAGTGCATGGAAAAGAGAAGATTCTAGATCTGCCTAGATTGTTTTCTGACAAGTGAGGAGGGATCTTACAGATGTTCTAGACCAGCTTGCGTATGTAAGGATGCTTGGTATGTTTCCAAGGCCGGGGGTGTTTTCACCTTGACCTGCTGTTTTCCATCGTAACCGAACGTGACTTTACTGCGGGAGGGTTCTGAGTTCGGTCTGTGGTATGAACCTGCTGCTTGGTCTGCACTTACCTAGAAGTAGCTTGAGATTGGCGAAGGATATTTCGCAATGAAGAATTATGGTGGTGGGGGTCCGCGCACGATCGGCCAGGTCAGTCCCCAATTTTAGAGTACCGAATTACTGGCCGGATAGCTCCGTTGTGATTAACCGTGTAAGGTTATCTCCGAGGCGGATTTCGTTTGGTAGAATCTCTGCCTTTAGCGATGAATGGATGCCTTCCTCCCTCCTTGGGTGACTAGGTTACGACCTGATAACAAGTCTATATCGTGATGGAAAATTAAATACAGAGAGCCTAACATAGATACCTACGCCTATAAATAAGGAGACTTTTGTAGTTGAGTCTCTAAAGCAGTTTTATTAATCCGAGTGTAAAGTAATACAATGTTCTAGAGTATTCTAAGTCTTTTCGTTGAATGGTAAATGAGCCAGCTGGGGGGCAGACGCCGTGTGTCGAAGGCCTGCTTAACTGCTTATAACCATACTCAGTGAAATTGGCGCTGCCGGAGCGGATGGTTATTGTCATGATGAAGACCGACTCGTTCCTAATGGCATGGAACCACCGTCTATCTCCGAGCCATGCACCAGCTACGTCATCGGATTCAGGCACTAGATTAAGCGATGTCTGCAGAGTGCCTGGGAGCTAGCAATTTAGGACCCGTGTTGAGTCCAACGCGACCAGGTGAACAGGGGTGGGACTAAGCGAAGTAGTATCGGGTCAAATTTATTTATCTTTACTCACGCAATGCTCGACTCTTCGGCAAGTTGATGCGTGGTTTCTTGTTGCTGGTAGAACAATTGTTGGATGAGAAGTGTAGACATTCTTGTAACATACAACGGTCAGTCAAGAGCCCAAAACTTTATGCGTACTCTAAAGAGCAAGCGTACGAAGGTGTGATCGCCCAAACAACCGGCGTTGAAGCAGCTGAGTACCTGCCATCATCCACAACTATCTCCAAGAGTCGCACCCCAATCTCAGGTGCAATTAAGTTATATTAAATTCGGAGGTCAGCGCTGATAAGGACGGCGATGTGACGAAGATCGTTTCTTGGCGACCGCCATTGTTGGACAATCCAGCAGCGAGGACGACTGAGGAGAAGTGGATGACGGAGGGGGAAGAGCGGGGCGGGCGGCAAGGATGGGCGGAGATCCCGTCGGTCGTCCGGCCGCGGGATTGTGGCCTGCCCTGGGTTAGTCCCCGACTTCGGCCTACTGGCTATAGTGCCTTTCACCGCGTAGCTCAATTTCTACATTTCCATTTCTTTACAGCGAAATGGAAAACGCCATCTTGAGAACGCAAGGGCTGTGACATTTCCTGAGGCAACGTCAGACACGGGCCGCTAGTCCAATGGGAGAGTTGTCTTCATGCGCCGGCAATCACTCCCAAGCAGAGTTATGCGCCCTCCATCGGAGGCCCGCCTTGAGCACCGGCGGCTGGAGATGGTTCTGCAGGTGCGGGCAGAACGAGGGGTGCATAACCTAAATGTCAAGGTTATCAGCTGTAGGGACGGAAAGATACGTGAGGGACGATAGGTCTTGCCAGGACCGCACGGGATACTACGCCGTAGTATTTGTGGATATTCCCCATCAATCAGAGCACAATCCCCCAACAGGGTCAGTACTCAATCAAGCAGCAAGCAGGCATTAGCTCCGAGAGCAATGAGCAGATCCTGCCTTATCATGAGACCGAGGTTGCAGATGTAAAGACTGATCAGAGCATCAGCTTTCCTGTTGCAGACTAGCGTACTCAGGCTAATCGGCTGCCCGGTAAGGGAAAAGCGGAGTAACTCGACTGATAGACAGGAGATGGGGTTCTCCTGAAGCGTCTGATTTTCTCTCCAAATTCATCCTACGAGCTTCTACACGGTAGTAGGACGATCGTGTTTGCAAATCACGAGCTTGAATTGCTGATCCATCTGGTCCCTGAGAGCAACTGACTCTAATCCACAATCCACAATGCTGAGTCGACTGAAGCTTTCGCCGAGGATGCCAATGTCTGCCACCACCACCAAGCATAGGCCAAGCGGGAGGAGTGATTGAACCCTCATTAACCCGTTGCTTAAGCGTCTTGGCTCGTCAGCCACTATCTTCTTCAATCTCAATGCTTGCCCTGTGATAGGAACGTGCGCGACCTTTCAGCCTGTATGGCCTTATCACCTCCAAATTGCTTTGCAGCAAGATACGTCGGAGTCCTGTTTGCAAGTCTCTTGGCTACGCCTCATGCTACGCGGCCAGGGACACGAGGAAGATATAAAAATGGCCTGAGATCCCCTCGAACTCATCTCTTCTCTCTCCATCAGCAAGCATCCTCCGTCTTCAAAGCTCAATCTCGCTGACTTCCGCTCTTCTCTCGATCTCATCGTCTTAACCATCCAACAAAATGAAGACCTCTGCTCTCTTGACCGCTGGCCTGCTGGCCACCGCCGCCATTGCTGCTCCTCTCACCGAGAAGCGCGCCGCTGCCAAGCGTGCTGGCAGCCGTAAGAGCAACCGCCCTCTCAAGCCCGGCACCAGCGAGGCGATCAACCTGACCGGCGACAAGAACGTCGAGTACTCGTCCAACTGGGCCGGCGCTGTGCTCATCGGCACCGGCTACACGGCCGTCACCGCCGAGTTCACCATCCCCACCCCCTCCCTCCCCTCCGGTGCCTCCAGCCGCGAGCAGTACTGTGCCTCCGCCTGGGTCGGGATTGACGGTGACACCTGCGGCACCGCCATCCTGCAGACCGGTCTCGACTTCTGTATCGAGGGCAGCACCGTCAGCTACGACGCCTGGTACGAGTGGTACCCCGACTACGCCTACGACTTCAGCGGCATCAGCTTTTCCGCCGGCGACGTCGTCAAGGTCACCGTCGACGCCACCAGCAAGACCGCTGGTACCGCTACCGTCGAGAACGTCACCAAGGGCAAAACCGTCACCCACACCTTCTCCGGCGGTGTTGATGGCGATCTCTGCGAGTATGCCCCCCTCCATTTCTCCCCGCTTTCCTATCTGTATTGAAGAAAAATTCACTAACCCGCTGTCACAGGTACAACGCCGAGTGGATCGTCGAGGACTTCGAGGAGAACTCCTCCCTCGTCCCCTTCGCCGACTTCGGCACCGTCACCTTCTCTAGCGCCTATGCCACCAAGAGCGGCTCCACCGTTGGCCCCTCCGGCGCCACCCTCATCGACATCGAGCAGAACAACCAGGTTCTCACCTCTGTCTCGACCACCAGCAGCTCCGTCACCGTCGAGTATGTTTAAGCGGGACGCTCGGGGACGTGATGCGAGAAAGCGGCTCGGGTGGTCGGAAGTCCTTTGGGATGTCGAACGCCCGGGCTTGGGCGCTATGAGATCACTGGAAACGAAGACGAGAATGAGCGAATGCTGTCACTGATTGAGATTGTGCTTTGTTGATTGTGCTAGGGGCATGCCTCTGAAAATTGAGCTTAGTTTTGCTGCAATATGATTGCTGTGGTTGAGAATTGTGCTTCTGTAGATGGAGTTCAGCATGCTGAAGATAGTAGGTTGTAATGTGTGTACCTTGGATCAGTAGCTCTACTAGGTATTTTGGTGTAAAAGACCCTTGGAGAACATCCTCAGTACGTTTCCCGATGGTCTGCAGCCCTTAATGACCGACATTGAAGAAACTGGTAACGCGTAGATCGTACCGTGGCTGTGCTATGGGCGATTGTGCTGGAGCGAGTGTGAGGGCGGGCGAGAGATGCCAGTAAATCATGGATCCATAACTTAGTTGACTGCCAAAAAGAGTCGCGGCCGTTTACAGTAGATATTGTTTGTACTGTATGCACCTAGTGATGGAGCCCCCTCACTTCTGTTCCCCGTCTCTTCCCCTCATTTCTCCGCATCAACAACCACATTCATCTTCAACCTCATCGACAATCTCGACCCCAGACATCCTTATCCGAAGGCAAGCAACGCTTGCACCTTGTAATTGAAGTATCTTGGCATCCCTAATCCTTTATGATTCATTGAGGGTATCGCAATCGCCAACGTCGAGGCGAACGTCAGATTTTACTTTACGAGACTCGCGGACCGAGCCGAAGACCCCCGATCGCATCCTCCCGCCATTTCCAATTACTAGTCCGTGCGGAATGTCAACTTCCATGGTTATTAGCATAGTCAGCTGATGCTTATGAGAATGTTCATGCCACAGGAAGTTACCCCCCGCAGACGAGAATACGCTGTTACCACGATGAATCGCTGGCGTCTCGCGTACCGATGTGATGGGTCGCTTTGCGCGACCGGGATTCGAGTATCATGTGCAAAATCACTGCTGATGCTCGTCTCCGTACAACTGGTGCTATGAGGATAGAGCAGAGCTGATTGCACATGAGGCCGCGTCAGTAGTGGTCGACCCCAGGTTCAATTTACACCAAATGAACTACACGGATCTAGCTCCACTTGGATTCAAACAAGTGGACAAAGCAGAGCTGTCACCGTGAACAAGAGTTTCCCTGCTGAGAGTCATGCTGGGTTACGATAGATTGCGTTGCGATCGCGGACCTGATATTGGAGCTACCCTTCGAGCAGACCTACCCGGACAAAGAAAATCGGTCGGCAAATTGTCCTCTCGAATATATGTCCAAACACTGCATTACAGAGCTTTACACGTTGAACGATGGAATTAAAAGACCGAATCTAGGTCCGGGGACCCCACATGGAATGGACACACCCGCCGTAAAACAAGGCTTACGCCCTTCAACCATCTTGCCAGGCAGTGCAAGCACAAGCCTGTAATGCTGCACGGATGCAGTGTAAGCATAGACTCTTTTTTGATTCGAAACTTAGACTGACCGATGCTGTTTTGAAAGACTTAATCTAGTTTCCTAACATTTGAGCGTACATTTCCAGGGGGATTAGCATGCTCTACGACCGCTCTAGCCCTTCCCGGAGGACCGAGTCTTTGTCCCAGTACAGTTCTACACACAGAGCCTGTTTCTAAGTGTCAAAGCCTGACGGTCGATTCGTTCGAGGTTATAAAGAAACCCTTTGTGCAAGATTTGAGGCAATGCGACCGCGGGCTGGGCGAGCAGCAAAGCTGACTAGATGAGTTGTCACAGCCATGCTCCATAATCTTACCAAGCTACACCCTCATCCCCCTTTCTTCCCAACTCACAATGCAGTCTATGCGACCGGCATAAGTTATTGCAGAGAACCGATGTTGGACTGGTGATTATCGACGGGACTAATCCAGAACAGCAGAGGACCAGGACATGACTCCATCTGCCGTCCACAGACCGATAGCAAAGAGTGATTTCTGTGGTGATGACGTGGGGCAGTGCCTCGACTACGCTGAATCTATTCCCACGCGATGGCCGCTGTCTTCGACGATACAGTTTTTCTGCGTTTCCAAGAGCTAGATCATTCTCTGGCACGCACGCTAATTGCCATCAACCACTAGCAGAGCATTTGGACCTACTGCGCAGTTTCGTACAGCTGTGACGAAAGGAACTTCTGCACGGAACAAATCGGCAAATAAGGCATGCGTCCGCCGATATCATCGCGAGTTCATCAGAGCTCGTCTTCGACTTTGAGCAGAATTACCATCTCTCTTTGGTGCTCCTTTGATGCTGCGCCTTACTCTAGGCAAAGCGAAAGGACTCCAACCGGTTGTGAATGCTTGAATCGCAGATGATTCAATTTGACGGTCGATCTGAGACATCAGCAAGGCCTTAATTGAGCTTGATATTTTACTGTACCCTGTCAGCCGGCCAGGAACAGCCTTTGTCTGTGCGTCATCCGTCCAATCTCACCTATGGGGCGATGCTCTCGCTTCTCGAAGACGATTTGACAGGTACAAGTCATCCCACATCCAAAGATAACAGTGTTGGTGGCGAAGGAGCCGCCGTCGAAGCCACGTCTCTCGTATTCATTTAATCCTCATCCTTCGATTGTCGATCGGGTGCCATTGACCACATCATGATGAAGGATCTTCGTTCCCGGATCCAAGGACCAGTGAAATAACCCTGCTGCCACTGCCAAGGCATCTACAGCCTGACTGCGGTCCCAGCCCCGATAGAAGGAAAGGATTGTCTCAACGTCGTTGCGGTTCTAGCACGCCAAGTGGAGCAATGGCCCGCTAGGCAGACGCTAAGAGGTGTTGACCACGAGGCTGAAGCAATCACTTTCCGCTCTGACCTAGTCCCCATATTTAGCAGGTGTGCTAACGGACCCAGCCGCAGGGTCTAAAAACCCCTGACCACCAGGCTCACAGAGTTTTCCTCGTGTTTTCGTTCCGCTTACACCGTGCTACGGCTCGAAAAACGCCTCCCCAATGCCTTGGATTCGCACACGATGGGTGTAGACAGCGATCCGGTGCACGTGACCGTGGAGGCGCCCCGCCCGCCATCTGCTTGGCGCGAGCAGTTTCGCTATTCGAGCATTCCGGATGAGACCCAGGGCAGAAAAGCACGATGGACTGACCTTTTGTCTTCATTCAAACTACTGGGAAAGGCCAAAGAAGGAAGCGAGTGGATCAGAGGCGCGCTGATATGTACCTGGATTACGGGCACCATTCTGGCCATCAACATCATCATGTTGGTCGTAGCAACAATCATTGCATACAGTGGTCAAGGGAAAACGAATCGAGGTCAATTCCAGATGGCAGAACTATATAGTGGACAGTGCTCGCGCTCCAGCCATTGGGCGACGGGCCTACACGTGATCATCAACGTGTTAAGCACGACTCTTCTCGGTGCCAGCAACTACGTGATGCAGTGCCTGGGCGCACCGTCCCGGACGGATATCGATCGGGCTCATGCTAAATCGCGATGGCTCGACGTTGGCACTTTCAGCTTTCGCAACTTTGCAGTCATGGACCGCCGCCGCAAGATTTTATGGCTGCTGCTTTTGGTCAGCTCGACGCCGATTCATATGATCTACAACTCCGTCATCTTCTCATCGATTTCGACCCTTGATTACGGAATTTTTATGATACCAGATAATCTGTCACCGAGTGAGACTCTGATTGGCAATGACACTGCCAGTCGTGACTCATTCTTATCCGAGGTTGGGTCCGAGGCGGATGTCGTTCGAACGCAAATTTTCAATGGGACCTTTGTCAATGCGACGGCGAAGGATTGCACCGACAAGTATAATGTCGAGTACAATACGGAGTATGGTACATTGATCTATGTCGCAGGTCGACAACACTTCCACAACACTAGCAGTCTTCAGCTTGGAGGTTTCGAGAGGTATGCATCGGTATATGAGATTATGCAGGGTTTGGATGGCAATCCACCTCCCAGTGCGAACAACCTGTCGCTGACCAGCGAGTACTGGAGTTATCGCATCTGGAATTATTCGGTGCCTGATTATCTATACGGGAATGTGTCTTATATCAATCTTATGGGGCCTGCCTACGAGGATATGCTCTTGAGCGGCAATGCTAGCCTAAGTGATGACTTGTACACTCTTGCGGAGTACAATTATGCTTACAATCCGTCCTACGAAGCCCTGCGCGCGTACTTGGACACCCCATCTCACTGGAAGAACAGCTCCTGGGCAGCTGCTGTGAGGTTTGAGCTAATAGGTATCGGATCCATGTCTGATTTCTATACCATCGATCAAACAGGCGCGCGAGAAGTCCCTGTATCACACTGCCTGATTAAAGAGGAGGAGCAACGTTGTCAGCTATTCTTCAGTCCGCCAATCGCGATTGTCGTCATTGTATGCAATATCATCAAAGTTGTCTGCATGCTGCTGACTGCCCGGGTCAAGCGCACAGACCTCATGTTGAGGGTAGGTGATGCGTTGGCCTCATTCCTCACTCGACCTGATCCGACTACCCGCGGCCGATGTCTCCTCTCGCGCTCCCAAATGACTCGAGGGCCTCAAGCATGGACCCTCCCTGGCATTGTGCTCGGTTCATGGAAAGGATACACGCTACAACGTCGAGCTGCAAGCCCAACTTCGCACTCGATGGACAATCTCTCGTCGACGATTACAACGAAAGCCGACAAACTCTACCCCAGCATTCTCCCACCGCGTAAAAGATGGTACCAAGCGGTCAGCTGGCGACGTTGGACGCTGGTTCTCTTATTGTAAGGCGCTTTCCTTTCGACCCCAACGGATTCGCTGCTCCAACTGACCGCCATTAGCTTTATCGCTTGCATAGTTACAGCCATCTGGCTAACCACTTACGCCATCAGCCAAACCGAAGGCTTCAGCACGGCCATGAGTCTCGGCTTCGCGCAGACCAGCGCCACCACCATGATCAAGTATATTTCGTCGGACATGATCGCCCTCGTCCTTCTCGCCAACACACCCCAGATAATCCTCTCGATCCTCTATTTCCTCTCTAATAGTCTATTGACGTGCATGCTCGTTGCCGAGGAGTGGGACCAGTACGCGCGGCACCGCCGGCCACTGCGCGTCTCTTGGCCCCGCGGCCAGCAGCAGTCATCCTACTACCTCAGCCTCCGGTACCGATACAGCGTTCCGCTGATGATCCTTTCCGCCACGTTGCACTGGCTCCTCTCGCAGAGTATCTTCTTCGTCAACATCAAGGCATACGACGTGTACGGCGACGAGGACGAGGGGAACTCGTCGCGAGGGTGCTGTTATTCTCCCATGGCAATGTTCATCACCATGTGGGTGGGGATCCTGGCTCTGGGGCTATTGGTCTCGCTGGGAGCGCGGCGCTTCAAGTCACATATGCCGCTGGCAACGCACTGTAGCGCGGCAATCAGTGCAGCATGTCATCCGCCAGAGGGAGACGAGGGGGCGGCGGGTAAACCGGTGATGTGGGGGGAGATTCCGCGCGGGGCGGAGGCACAGGTGACGACGCCGAGCCCGGAGTATCCGTGGGCGCCGGAGAGGACGGATGGGGAGGAGCCGTATGGGCACTGTTCGTTCACGTCGTGGGATGTGGTGACGCCCAGTTTGGTGAAGTTGTACTATTAGTTTTTGCAATGTATATACAATTATGCATATGATGTATGCGAGGCAAGAAACTTTTCCTTTGACTGTTCAAGTCAACATATCATACACGCGTCTGCAAGGGCTATGTTCACTCTGAATCACTTCCGGAGTCCAGCCCCCGTCCATTAATCGCTAACAATTCCACCGTGCTGCAGGATTAGCATCGTCCAACCAGACAAGGGAGTCACCTACAAGACCAGATTTGCATTTCCGGGGATGAATGGCGGGGCGCCCCTGTCTACATTAGCATTCCTCTTTCGCAAGTCCGGTCAGGATTCTGATGCGTACTTCTCCCCGTACCCATAGTGCCTGTCCGTATCATTAGCACACTCAGCGCATGACCAAGGAAATGGGAAACATACGGTCCGAAAGTCAAGAGCGCTTTCTCACCCAGACTCATCCCAAGGATCCCAACTTCCCAACCTACAGTCCTAAATCAGCTTCTCCTAAACCCTCCATAGATACACACAAGGCGGAGAAACGACATACCCTTGATCACCGTCCCCATCCCGAGCTGAAACGTAAACGGATATCCGCGCTTGATGCTGCTGTCGAATCTGTGCCCCAAAGTTTGTTCTCATTAGTAAAATACGGCTTGCTGTAGGATTGTCGCTGGTCTGGAGTCAACTGTACAAGCCCCGATAACCCGGAGCGAATGTATGAAGCGAAGGCAGACAACTCACCGCCTTCCCCGTCCCCACGACCGCGTCGGATCATGCAGATACCCGTGGTAGTGGACGGTGACCATGTCGCCCTTCTGGGGGTAGTCGATCCCGTTGCCCGGGCGGAGGATCTCTTTGAGGAAGTCGATGAGGCCCATTTTCTTGGTCGTATATAATTCTGTTGGAGAGGATGTGGGGTAGAAGTTCTATGATTTTAGCCGGGGTGGTTGGTTGTAGGAACTGGATTTGAGGTGGCTGCGGGTGCGATCGGGATGCGGTCACGGGTGGAGGGCGTAGTGGGCGGAAGGAGGTGCGGATTATCTGTTGGTCCGGCGGGGTTACTTTTTTGGGGATGTTGTGGTTGGCACGGGCGGCAGGTTGGCAGGGGGCAGTGGATCATGGAAACTTGTGTGCTTTCGGACTTGCAGGGTTCTACATGTAATCAGTCTTTCAGGCTCTGGGAATGAGCATAGGGATATCATTGTTGAGTGTGTGTGTAGTTGGCTCCTTGGTTTGGGTCCTTGACTCAGTCGGGCCGACACCTTAACGAGACGTTGCACATCTTCGGGCATGTGAATGTAGTCATGGACAGTCTAGGGAGTTTAGAACTCGAGCAAACTCCAGTTGACTTCATTATCAAGCTAGTCGTTGTCATAATTCTGGCCGATATCGCCAGCTCAGGGCTTCCCCACAGAGGAGCGCGGGCCGGGCAGTGCCGCCCCTGAGATCTCCCACCAGGACCCGGTCGATCGGGGTTGGGGTCTTGGGCCCGTCCACAGTTTGTGTTGGTTCCCCCTCTTCACCAAACAATTTCCCTCGTCTTTCTCCTTCATCCTTCTTCACCCCACCATGCCTTCTCCCACACTCTCTCCCCAACCCACCACCGGTTACATCCACAACCTCACCTCAGAGCAGTCCACCAAGCTCCGTCAAACCTGGAGCATCATCCTCTACCTTATCAACAACCATGATGACACCACCGCCGATAGCACCACCGGCCCAACAGCCGCCGGCCTGACCTCCGCCCTCGCAACTCACCACCTTCCCCCTCTCGACACCGTCCAACCCATCCTCGACACACTCCCTCGCCACCCGCTCCCCTCCCTCCGCGCCGGCCTCCTCAGCCTCGCAAAACACGACTCCCCAGATACCCTCCTCCTCCGCTTCCTGCGCGCCCGTAAATGGTCCGTCCCCGCCGCGACCGCGATGCTCCTCCGCGCGATCCACTTCCGACACACGCAGGACATCGACGCCCAGATCCTGGCCACCACCGAGCTGGACGCGCTGTACGAGGCGACCGCGCAACCGCCGCAAACCCCCCCTATCCCCGGTGCCATCGGGGCGACGACCGTCCAGACGACCGCGACGGACAGCCAAGCGTTTTTGGATCAGATGCGAATGGGGAAGGCGATCGTCCACGGGACGGATCGCCAGGGTCGGCCGGTCATGCTCGTGCGCGTGCGGCTGCACCAGCCCGGCCAGCAGAGCGAGGCGGTCGTCACTCGGTTCATTCTGCATATGATTGAGACGGTGCGCTTGACGCTGGTGGATCCGGTTGAGACGGCGGTATGTTCTCTGTGCTATATCCTAGATGATGCCATTCGGAGGGGCTGACAGGTTTGGGGTGTAGACAATCTTGTTCGATATGACGGGGTTTTCGGTCTCGAATATGGTGAGTTCATTCTTCCGCATGCACAGATGGAAGGTGGGAATATACTGAAGGGAGGATAGGAGTATGCGCCCGTGAGATTCGTCATCGATTGCTTTCAGGAGAATTATCCCGAGTATCTGGGGACGATGCTGATCCACAACGCCCCGTGGATCTTTTCGGGTGAGCCCCTCACTTTTCCCCTAAAGTGACCATGGGTGAGGCGTAGACTAAGACAGGCTAGGCATCTGGAAAATCGTCAAATCCTGGATGGACCCCGTCATCGTCTCCAAGGTGCACTTCACCAAGACCGTCGCCGACCTGGAGCAGTTCATCGCCCCGGACAAGATCCTCAAGGAGATCGGTGGCCCTGAGGGCTGGGACTACGAGTTTGTGGAGCCCGTGGCCGGCGAGAATGAGCGCATGACTGAGACGGCCACGCGCGACCGGCTGCTGGCCGAGCGCGAGGAGCTGGCCTCCAAATTCCTGGAGTTGACGAAGGAGTGGCTGGCGGCGGCCCAGCCGGAGAGTGTGGCGGTGCAGCGGACGGAGGCGATCGCGGCCTGGCGCAAGCAGTACTGGGCGTTGGATCCGTTTGTTAGAGGACGGACGTGTCTTGATCGTACGGGGGTGATTCAGGAGGGGGGCAAGATAGACTTTTACCCCGGGATGGATCATGTCTAAGTTTTACCGGGGCTTAGATGTGGCATTACTGTTGTGCATCTGATGAGATTACCGCAAGTGAGCTGCTTAATGGCAGGCTAAAGTAAGTGGTAGGTAGTAATTAGGCTGCGTTGTGCAACTGGGACGTTCCTTGGATAGGAGGCCGGGTGACATCGGCACGATGATTCTTTCCATGGTTCTAGGGTTTAGATTGTCAGTTCTAGTCATCTATATTATTACCTAATGATTATCCTTGGTCATATGTTTTGCACTAATGGGTGGATCGATTTGAGTGTGCGAGGCTTACAAGGGATCAAGCTGTAGTGAAGGAGATTCAACGGAGATGTTCGTCCGGGTCACTCTTGAGCGAAACATTAACGTTCCGGGTCTTCCGAAGTGTCTTCTTCTGTTGGGTATCGCACTTCGGTGGCCACGGCAAGACAAGGTATATCCTGCATAAATACCTCCCTGCTGGCCCGGCCATATACATACAAGCGTAGGCACAAGGCACCGTGCATGGTATCTGGGAATAAACCTTAGTCATGCCTAAGGGTTCTGCACCAGGACCCGGGTTCCCAATACAATCAGCTCTTGACGGGACCGACCACGGGTAGCTGCTGCAATCGAGTTTTCCAAGTCTCTGTCCTCAGGACGGAGTGGGTCGGCTACAATATAAGCTGATAAGTTGCGGCTGTGGATCCCTCAAATCAATAGATCGCCAGGCACGGCCAATCCTCATTTGCCGGGCCCGCCGATCGCTCATAAAAGTGACAAATTAGACGAACCATCCCAAGATTCCCCCCTCTTTTGGAACCTTGTCGAGTCAGATCTCTGCTGACCTCCCAAAGAAGCAACGAAAGATCAGCCGAGTGACACATTTTTCTTGAACAAGAAAGTGAGTGGGACAGGGCCGCCTCATGCCACCATCGCGGCTTTTATTTATTTACCCCCTCCCGGCCCGTCGCCCTGGAATGTGCGCTGTGCTGCCTTGGGACTCTCCCACAACAAACACCATCACCACGACCACCATGATGGGCTTTCCACCGGGCTTCATGGTCTGCCTCTTGTGCCTCCTCGGTCTCACCGCGGCAGCCACCACCAGTTTGAAGTCTTGCATCCTTTCTGCCGTCGACAATGACAACACCCTCGCCGCCTTCAAAGGCGATCTTCTGTACCAGACCCTCGCCGTGAAAGTCTACAACCTCAACTACCCCGTCACTCCTGCCGCGGTGACCTTCCCGACCACCAGCGCCCAGGTCTCCGAGATCGTGCAGTGCGCCAGCCAACTGGGCTACAAGGTGCAAGCCAAGAGCGGAGGCCACAGCTATGCCAACTACGGTATACCCTCCCGTGATCCTCCCCCTAATCTTTGTTAGCAACAACACTAACCCAACCAAGGACTGGGCGGCACGAACGGCGCCATCGTCGTCGACCTCAAGAACATGAAATCCTTCGCCTACGACGCATCAACGCAGCACGCCACCGTCGGCGCCGGCATGCTCAACGGCGAGCTCGACGCGCACCTAGTCGACGCGGGTAACCGGGCGGTGGCGCACGGCACCTCGCCGCAGATCGGGATCGGAGGCCACGCGACCATTGGGGGACTGGGTCCGACAGCGCGGCAATGGGGTATGGAGCTGGATCACGTGCTGTCGGCGGAGGTGGTGCTGGGGAACGGGAGCATCGTGCGCGCCTCGAGCACCGAAAACCCGGACCTGCTGTTCGCGATCAAGGGCGCCGGGGCCAGCTTCGGCGTCGTGACGGAGTTCGTCCTGCGCACCGAGGCCGCCCCGACCGAGGCGGTGCAGTACACCTACACGTTCAACCTGCTGGGAAGCGCGGCGTCGCGCGCGCAGCTGTTCAGCGACTGGCAGGCGTTTATCACGGAGGAGGACCTCACGCGCAAGCTCGCCAGCATCATCACCATTCTGGCGGGGTCGGTGGTCATCTCTGGCACCTTCTTCGGCTCGCAGGCCGAGTACGACGCCCTGGGGCTGGCGGACCGCTTCCCCGGCGCGGACGGCAACTCCTCTGCCGTCGTGTTCACCGACTGGCTCGGCCTGACCGCCCACTGGGCCGAGCAGAGCATTTTGGATTTGACGGGTGACATCCCCGCGCACTTCTACGCGAGGTGTCTGGCATTCCAGCAGGACACGCAGATCTCGGAGGACGGCGTGCAGCAGCTGTTTGAGTACCTGGACACGGCGAGCACGGGCTCGCTGATCTGGTTCGTGATTTTTGATCTCGAAGGCGGTGCTATTAATGACGTCCCCAACGATGCCACCGGGTTCGCGCACCGGGATACTCTGTTCTGGATGCAGTCGTACGCGGTGACCTTGGGCCAGGTGTCGCAGACCACGTATGACTTTTTGGATGGCGTGAATGAGATTATCCGGAATCATACACCCGGGATTGGGGATGGGGTGTATCCGGGGTATGTGGATCCGAGGCTGGAGGATCCGCGGCGGTCGTACTGGGGTGGGAATCTGGAGCGGTTGGGGCGGATCAAAGCGGCGGTGGATCCGGGAGATGTGTTTCATAATCCGCAGGGGGTGCTGCCTGTTGCCTAGGGATGAGTTGTGAATCTGTTGGGTTAGCATTGGTGCAGTATTTGGCTTTAATATAGCACTTTGGCAGTGGATGTGACATGAAGTGACCCCGACGGTCACTCTTTTATATTGTTCAGTCTGTTCATATTGGTATTACTTTCTTGTAAAGTTGCGTTATAATAATACTTAATTGACTTAAGCTATGATAAAAAAAAAGGTAGGACATAATTAGCGGTGGGTTCAGGATACACACAACCAAGGAAAAGCCTCAGGCCAAGCCGGCTGGGTCTCTTTGCCCTCCATCATGTCAAGCGTCTCCTCACTGCACATTGGGCGATAGAATCCATAGTTCGGGTGATAAAACTGAGAAGGTGGGACAGTGTCATCCTTAATCTTGATGAACGCCTCTGCGTCAAGATCCATCTCTTCGAGGATCTCTCCTTCTTCGAGCTCCATTTCCTCCTCTTTGATGTCTTATTCCTGAAGCTCCATCTTAACATCCTTCTCAACCCTAACCCACACCCCTCCTCCTTTTCTTCCTTTTCTTTGATCTCCGCCTCCTCAACCTCCATCTTAACATCCTCTATCTTAAACCCCTCTTCTTCCTCCTCTTTCTTCATTACAACCCCCTCCTCCTTCTCCTCCTCCTCCTCCTCCTCTTGCCGGTCGGGGCCTTGGCGGGGAGGGTGGGGAGTTCGGGGTCGATGGTTTTTGTAGAGCGGTTGTTGGGGGGGG